ATCCTAGTCCTCCTCCTCCTCCTCCTCCACCTCCTCTACTTCTTCTTCTTCTTCGTCCTGTAGTTCTTCTTACTCGTCGTCCACTTCTTCTTCGTCGTCGTCCTCGTCTTCGTCGTCCTCTTCTTCTTCGTGGTTGTCTACTTCTTCCTCTTCTTCTTCTTCTTCTTCTTCATCTTCTTCTTCATCTTCTTCTTCTTCTTCTTTTACTTCTTCTTCTTCTTCCACGTCTTCTTCTTCTTTTTCTTCTTTTCTTCCACTTCTTCTTCTTCTTCTTCTTATTCTTCTTTCTCCTTCTTCTTCGTCTTCTTCTTTTTCTTTTTCTTCTTCTTTTTGTAATGACCCGCCAAAAAACACAGACTGGGAACACTGCTGATTTCTGGGATTTGCCAATGGAATGAATGCCTTGTTGTGATTCCCACATTCTGCTGTGGTCCCAAGTCTGTGTGTATGCGTGCCTGCTGGTTTGCATGCCTGTCTGAGTGCTTGCCGGTTGGATGTGTGTGCGTGCCTGCTGGTTTGCATGCCTGTATGAGTGCTGGCTGGTTGGGTATATGTGTGTGACCCGCAAGGGTGCTTGTTGGTTGCAAGGCCCACCGGGCCGGTACTTACCTGTGGCGGTGACTTTGAAGGGTTGCAGGGGGGTAAACACGCCGGTAGCGGGGAGTAGGCCCATGACACTTAGAGCAGCTGGGGAAAAACACTCAAGTAGCAGGTAGGCTGAGCAGAAGAAGACAAAAAGTTGGCATTTTTAGAGGCCCAGTAGCGCTAGGTTAGAGGTAGGCCGGTACCATTCCAAGTAGCCCGGGTCTAGGGCCTGTGCGGACAATAACAGAGCCTGCAATGATGTTTCCCTCCAAAAGGGAGGAGGTACCGGTTGCTGGGAGGCCGCTTGGCCTAGGAAGTCACCGCCCAGGAGGCCGGTAGGCCGCTATATCTTCAGGAAGAGCGGAGAGCTCTTCCTCATTTGCGGTATGCAAGGATTGGCGACATGCTGCCGGAGCGCAGCGCTGGACTGAAGCAACGCTGCTTGGAGGTGAAGGTCCTCTGGGGCTCAGCCTGGCTATGGCGAGCACCCCAACTTGAGGAGGAGGAAGAAGGGGGCATGGTAGGAGAGTGGTAGGGCACTTACCTGGCTATGGTGGACACCATCTTCATCACCTTGTTGGGCGCTGCATCTGGAAGGCCCCAGTTGGGGTAGCGCTGCACCAGAGCAGCTCAAGGCAGAATCAGGCATAGCGGACCAAGTCAAGCAGCGGCATAGCTGCTTTGGGTTGTCTTGGGACATCAGCGCAGCATCATAGCTGCCCCCTAGTAGTCCGCCATGGCCTATGCATGAGAGAGGAGGATGAAGGAGGGAAGACATAGCCATGGTGGACTTGTTGTTGTTGTTGTTGTGAGTTGAGTCAGCAGTAAGAGGGAACTTCGGACATTGATTCTGGTTCATCCATTCATTGTTATTATT